TAGCGATGTATAGGGACACCCCCATAGTGATGTATGGGGACCCCCCCATTTTGGGGTCCCCCCATAGTGATCTATAGGGCCCCCCCATAGTGATGTATAGGACACCCCCATAGTGATGTATAGAGACCCCCCCATTTTGGGGTCCCCCCATAGCGATGTATAGGGACACCCCCATAGTGATGTATAGAGCCCCCCCATTTTGGGGTCCCCCATAGCGATGTATGGGGACACCCCCATAGTGATGTATGGGGACCCCCCTATAGTGATTTATAGAGCCCCCCCATTTTGGGGTCCCCCCATAGCGATGTATAGGGCACCTCCATAGTGATGTATGGGGACACCCCATAGTGACGTATAGAACCCCCCCATTTTGGGGTCTCCCCATAGCGATGTATAGGGCCCCCCCATAGTGATGTATGGAGGCCTCCCACTTTTTGGGGTCCCCCCATAGTGATGTATGGGGACACCCCCATAGTGATCTATAGGGACCCCCCATTTTGGGGTCCCCCCATAGTGATGTATGGGGACACCCCATAGTGACGTATAGAACCCCCCCATTTTGGGGTCCCCCCATAGCGATGTATAGGACACCCCCATAGTGACGTATGGGGGCACCCCCATAGTGATCTATAGGGACCCCCCCATTTTGGGGTCCCCCCATAGCGATGTATAGGGCCCCCCCATAGTGATCTATAGGGACCCCCCCAATCTTCCCCTCCCCCCATAGATACACACAGAGGCCCCCACCCCCACCCCCTCCCCCCACCATAAGGTGCCCCTCCCCCCTCCTCGCCCCTCCCCCCCCCTCCGGATTAACGGGGGAGCAGATGGCGAAGGGGGGGGGGGGCGCCCCCCCCCCCCCCCCCCCCCCCCCCCCCCCCCCCCCCCCCCCCCCCCCCCCCCCCACCCCCCCCCCCCCCCGTGTCCTTGTCCTTGGGTGGGGGAGGGGCGAAAGGGGGGGGGGGAGGGGATGGGGGGGGGGTTCTATGGGGCTGGAGGGGCTGTTATGGGGTGCCCAAGGGGGGCTCAATTGGGGGGTGCAATGGGGGGTCTATTGATGGGGGGGCTCAGTTGTGGGTCCGGGTGCCCCATTGGGGCTCCGTTGTGGGTCTGGGTGCCCCGTTGTGGGGCAGCTATGGGGCAGTTGTGGGTTGGGGGGGGGCAGTTATGGGTCTTTTATGGGGCAATCATGGGGCAGTTATGGGGCAGTTGTGGGGCAGCTATGGGGCAGTTGTGGGCGGGGGGGGTCAGTTATGGGTCTTTTATGGGGCAATCATGTGGCAGTTATGGGGCGGTTGTGGGTTGGGGGGGTCAGTTATGGGTCTTTTATGGGGCAATCATGTGGCAGTTATGGGGCAGTTGTGGGGCAGCTATGGGGTAGTTATGGGGCAGTTGTGTGGCAGCTATGGGGCAGTTGTGGGGCAGTTATGGGTCTTTTATGGGGCAATCATGTGGCAGTTATGGGGCAGTTGTGTGGCAGCTATGGGGCAGTTGTGGGCTGGGGGGGCAGTTACGGGTCTGTTATGGGGCGGTCATGTGGCAGCTATGGGGCAGTTGTGGGGCGGTTGTGGGGCAGCTATGGGGCAGTTATGGGGCAATTGTGTGGCAGCTATGGGGCAGTTGTGGGCTGGGGGGGCAGTTACGGGTCTGTTATGGGGGGGTCATGTGGCAGCTATGGGGCAGTTGTGGGGCAGTTATGGGGCAGTTGTGTGGCAGCTATGGGGCAGTTGTGGGGCAGTTGTGTGGCAGCTATGGGGCAGTTGTGTGGCAGCTATGGGGCAGTTGTGGGCGGGTGGGGTCACTTAGGGGGCTGTTATGGGGCAGTCATGTGGCAGCTATGGGGCAGTTGTGGGGCAGTTATGGGGCAGTTGTGGGGCAGCTATGGGGCAGTTATGGGCAGTTGTGTGGCAGCTATGGGGCAGTTGTGTGGCAGCTATGGGGCAGTTGTGGGCTGGGGGGGTCAATTAGGGGTCTGTTATGGGGCAGGTCATGTGGCAGCTATGGGGCAGTTGTGGGGCACTTATGGGGCAGTTGTGGGGCAGCTATGGGGTAGTTATGGGGCAGTTGTGTGGCAGCTATGGGGCAGTTGTGGGCTGGGGGGGTCAATTAGGGGTCTGTTATGGGGCAGTCATGTGGCAGCTATGGGGCAGTTGTGGGGCGGTTGTGGGGCAGCTATGGGGCAGTTATGGGGCAATCGTGTGGCAGCTATGGGGCAGTTGTGGGCTGGGGGGGGTCAATTAGGGGTCTGTTATGGGGTGTGGCAGTTATGGGGCAGTTGTGGGGCAGTTATGGGGCAGTTGTGGGGCAGTTGTTGGGGGCGGTCATGGGCATGGGGCAGTTGTGGGGCAATCATGTGGCAGTTATGGGGCAGTTGTGGGGCAGTTATGGGGCAGTTGTGTGGCAGCTATGGGGCAGTTGTGGGCTGGGGGGGTCAATTAGGGGTCTGTTATGGGGCAGTCATGTGGCAGCTATGGGGCAGTTGTGGGGCAGCTATGGGGCAGTTGTGGGCTGGGGGGGCAGTTACGGGTCTGTTATGGGGCGGTCATGTGGCAGCTATGGGGCAGTTGTGGGGCAGTTATGGGGCAGTTGTGGGGCAGCTATGGGGCAGTTATGGGGCAATCGTGTGGCAGCTATGGGGCAGTTGTGGGCTGGGGGGGTCAATTAGGGGTCTGTTATGGGGCAGTCATGTGGCAGCTATGGGGCAGTTGTGGGGCAGTTATGGGGCAGTTGTGGGGCAGCTATGGGGCAGTTATGGGGCAGTTGTGTGGCAGCTATGGGGCAGTTGTGGGCTGGGGGGGTCAATTAGGGGTCTGTTATGGGGCAGTCATGTGGCAGCTATGGGGCAGTTGTGGGGCGGTTGTGGGGCAGCTATGGGGCACGGGTCTGGGAGTTATGGGGCAATCGTGTGGCAGCTATGGGGCAGTTGTGGGCTGGGGGGGTCAATTAGGGGTCTGTTATGGGGCAGTTGTGGGGCAGTTATGGGGCAGTTGTGGGGCAGTTATTGGGCAGTTGTGGGGCAGCTATGGGGCAGTTATGGGGCAATTGTGTGGCAGCTATGGGGCAGTTGTGGGCTGGGGGGGTCAATTAGGGGTCTGTTATGGGGCAGTCATGTGGCAGCTATGGGGCAGTTGTGGGGCAGTTATGGGTCACTTAAGGGTCAGTTATAGGTCAGTTATGGGTCACGTATGGGTGACTCATGGCTCACTTATGGGTCAGTTATGGATCACTTATGGGTCACTTATTGCTCACTTATGGGTCAATTATGGCTCACTTATGGGTCACTTATGGCTCAGTTATGGGTCTTGGAGATCTCAGTTGTGGGTCCAGCTGTGTGTGTGGGGGCTCTCACTTATGGGTCCCGGGGGGGATCAGTTGTGGGTGTGGGAGTGCTCAGTTATGGGTCCGGGAGTGCCCACTTATGGGTCAGTTATAGGTCACTTATGGCTCACTTAGGGGTCTTGGAGGTCTCAGTTATGGGTCTGGGAGTGCTCACTTATGGGTCAGTTATGGCTCACTTATAGGTCAGTTATGGCTCACTTATGGGTCAGTTATGGCTCACTTATGGGTCTGGGAGTGCTCAGTTATGCCTCACTTATGGGTCAGTTATGGCTCACTTATGGGTCAGTTATGGCTCACTTATGGGTCATGTATGGCTCACTTATAGGTCAGTTATGGCTCACTTATGGGTCAGCTATGGGTCACTTATGGCTCACTTATGGGTCACTTATGGCTCACTTGTGGGTCAGTTATGGCTCACTTATAGGTCAGTTATGGCTCACTTATGGGTCCGGGAGGTCTCAGTTATGGCTCACTTATGGGTCATGTATGGCTCACTTATGGGTCAGTTATGGGTCACTTATGGGTCAGTTATGGCTCACTTATGGCTCACTTATGGGTCAGTTATGGCTCACTTATGGGTCTGGGAGGTCTCAGTTATGGGTCTGGGAGTGCTCAGTTATGGCTCACTTATGGGTCAGTTATGGCTCACTTATGGGTCAGTTATGGCTCACTTATGGGTCAGTTATGGCTCACTTATGGGTCAGTTATGGCTCACTTATGGGTCTGGGAGGTCTCACTTACGGGTCTGGGAGGTCTTAGTTATGGGTCAGTTATGGCTCCCTTATGGGTCAGTTATGGGTCAGTTATGGCTCCCTTATGGGTCAGTTATGGCTCACTTATGGGTCAGTTATGGCTCACTTATAGGTCTGGGAGGTCTCAGTTATGGCTCACTTATGGGTCAGTTATGGCTCACTTACGGGTCCGGGAGGTCTCACTTATGGGTCCGGGAGGTCTCACTTATGGGTCCGGGAGTTCTCACTTATGGGTCTGGGAGGTCTCACTTATGGGTCCGGGAGGTCTCACTTATGGGTCCGGGAGGTCTCACTTATGGCTCCCTTATGGGTCAGTTATGGCTCACTTTTGGGTCACTTATTGGTCAGTTATGGCTCACTTATAGCTCAGTTACGGCTCACTTATGTGTCCTGGAGGTCTCACTTATGGGTCTGGAAGGTCTTAGTTATGGCTCAGTTATGGCTCACTTATGGGTCAGTTATGGCTCACTTATGGGTCAGTTATGGCTCATTTATTGGTCAGTTATGGCTCACTTATGGGTCAGTTATGGCTCACTTATGGGTCTGGGAGGTCTCACTTATGGCTCAGTTATGGGTCCGGGAGGTCTCACTTACGTGTCTGGGAGGTCTCACTTATGGGTCTGGAAGGTCTTAGTTATGGCTCACTTATGGGTCAATTATGGCTCACTTATAGGTCAGTTATGGCTCACTTATGGGTCAGTTATGGCTCACTTATGGGTCCGGGAGGTCTCACTTATGGGTCCGGGAGGTCTCACTTATGGCTCAGTTATGGGTCCGGGAGGTCTCACTTATGTGTCCGGGAGGTCTCACTTATGGGTCCGGGAGGTCTCACTTATGGGTCCGGGAGTTCTCATTTATGTGTCCGGGAGGTCTCACTTATGGGTCTGGGAGGTCTCACTTAGGTCACTTATGGCTCACTTAAAGGTCAGTTATGGCTCCCTTATGGGGCAGTTATGGCTCCCTTATGGGGCAGTTATGGCTCCCTTATGGGGCAGTTATGGCTCACTTATGGGTCTGGGAGGTCTCACTTATGGGTCCGGGAGGTCTCACTTATGGGTCCAGGAGTTCTCACTTATGGGTCCTGGAGTTCTCACTTATGGGTCCGTCTGTGTTGGTTGGGGGGTGTCTGTTGGAGGTGTGTGTTGTGCCATGTGTGGGTCCAACCTCCCCGGTGGGGGGAGGGGGGAGGATCGGGATCGGGGACCCCCTCCCCCACGTTCGTCGCCCCCCAACCCCCCCCCTCCCAGCCCGGCGGCTCCGACAGCTACCGCGTGGCCACCACGCAGGACAAGGGCGAGAAGGAGTCGCCCAAGAAGGGCAAGAGCAAGACCCGGGACCTGGATGACCTCAAGAAGGAGGTGGCCATGGTGAGGTTATGGGGGGAGGGGGGGGGGTGGGGGGGGGGGGGGGGGGTTGGGGGGGGTATGGGGGGGATGGGGGGTATGGGGGGTATAGGGGGTATGGGGGGTATAGGGGGATATAGGAGGTTTGGGGGGTATGGGGGGTATAGGGGTATATAGGGCGTATGGGGTGTCTAGGGGGTATAGGGGGTATGGGAGGTATGGGGGTATAGGGGATATGGGGGATATGTGGGATATGGGGGCTATGGGGGGTATAGGGGGTATAGGGGGGTATAGGGGGTATGGGGGTATAGGGGGATAGGGGGTATGGGGGTATAGGGGGTATGGGGGGTATGGGGGTATGGGGAGTATCGGGGGTATGGGGGTATAGGGGGATATAGGAGGTATGGGGGGTATGGGGGGTATGGGGGTATATGGGGGGATAGGGGGTATGGGGGATGGGGGGTATGGGGGTATTGGGGGATATGGGGGTATAGGGGTATATAGGGGGTATGGGGGTTATAGGGGGTATGGGGGGTATAGGGGGTATGGGGTTATGGGGATATGGGGGGTATAGGGGGTATGGAGGATATAGGGGGTGGGGGTTATAGGGGGTACGGGGGTATGGGGGTATAAGGGGATATGGGGGGGAAGGGGGATATGGGTGCTATGGGGGGTTTAGGGGTTTTGGGGGGTATAGGGGGTATGGGGGGGGTATGGGGAGTATAGGGGATATGTGGGTTATGGGGATATGGGATGGGGGGTATGGGGGTATGCGGGATATAGGGGGTACGGGAGTATGGGGGGTATAGGGGCTATTGGGTCAATATGGGGTATGGGGGGTATTGAGGGTATAGGGGGTGAGGGGGGTATGGGGGCTATATGGGGTTATGGGGTGGTTTGGATGCACTGTTAGGGCATTTGGGGGTGGGTTATAGGGGAGGCATTGAGGGTAAATGGGGGGGGTTGGCTGGGTTTGGGTGGGTTTGGGCAATTTTGGGTGGGTTTGGGGTAGTTTTGAAGCTGTTTTGGGGTGGTTTGGGGCTGGTTTGGGGTGGTTTGGGGCTGGTTTGGGGTCGTTTGGGGCTGGTTTCGGACACTGCTGCCCCACAGACCGAGCACAAGATGTCCATCGAGGAGGTGTGCCGGAAGTACAACACGGACTGCGTGCAGGTAGGGGGGCTTTGGGTACCCCCATTGCCCTATGGGGCTGCCCCATTGACCCTATGACTCCCCCCATTACCCCTATGGCTCCCACACTTGCCCCTATGGGGCTCCCCCCATTGCCCCTATGGCTCCCCCATTACCAATATGACTCCCTCCATTACCCCTATGAGTCCCCCCATTGCCCCTATGGCTGCCCCATTGCCAATATTGCTCCCCCCATTGCCCCTATAGCTTTGCCCCATTACCCCTATGGCTCTGCCCCATTACCCTTATGACTTCCCCCATTGCCCCTATGGCTCCCCCCACTTCCCATATGACTTGCCCCATTCACCCTATAGCTCCCCACATTGCCCCTATGGCTCCCCCCATTACAACTATGACTCCCCCCATTGACCCTATGTCTGCCCCATTACCCAATGCCTCCACCCCATTGCCTCTATGGCTCCCCCCATAACCCAACGGCACAGCCCATTCACCCTATGGCTCCCCACATTGCCCCTATGGCTCCCAATATTACCCCTGTGTCTCCCCAGTTGCCCACATGGAGACCCCCATTGCTAGTGGTTGCCCCCAAGGACGATAACCATAACCCTAACAGTAATGATAACCATAACCATAACCCTAAACTCAACCCATAACAAACAACCCTAACAACTAAACCCAACCCCAACCCCAACCCCAACCCTAACCCTAACCCTAACCCTAACCCCTAATCCCAAACCCAACCCCAACCCTAACCCTAACCCCAAATCCCAAACCCAAACCCAACCCTAACACTAACCCTAACGCTAACCATATACCATAACCCTAACCCTAACCCATAACCATAATAACCCACTAACCCTAACCCTAACCCAAACCCTAACACTAACCCTAACCCTAACCGTCACGCTAACCATATCCCCTAACCCTAACCATATCCCCTAACACTACCCATATCCTATAACCCTAACCATATCACCTAACCCTAAAACTAACAGTAACCCATAACCCTAACCCATAACCCTAACACTATAACCCTAACCCTAACCCCTAACAATAACAAATAACCACTAACCCAAACCATAACCATAACCATAACCATAAATGTAACCCTAAATACTAACCCTAACCGCAACACTAACCCCTACCCTAACCACAAGCCCTAACCATAACCCTAACCCTAACCCTAACCCTAACCCTAACCCTAACCCTAACACTAACCCTAACCATAACCCTAACCCTAACCCTAACCCCAATACCTAACCATAACCCTAACCCTAACCCTAACCCTAACCCTAACAATAAAACTAACCCTAAATCTGACCATAACCCTAACCCTAACACTATAACACTACCTGTAACCCCTAACCATAACCAATAACAGCTAACCCAAAATAACCATAACCATAAATGTAACCCTAAATACTAACCGTAACCGTAACACTAACCCCGACCCTAACCACAAACCATAACCCTAAACACTTCCCTTAACACCTAACCCTAAACCTAACCCATATACCTAACCATAACCCTAAACACTTCCCTTAACACCTAACCCTAAACCTAACCCATACACCTAACCATAACCCTAAACACTTCCCTAACCCTAACCCTAACCCTAAACCTAACCCTAACCTAACCATAACCCTAAACAACCCTTACTAACCCTAAACCTAACCCATACACCTAACCATAACCCTAAACACTTCCCTTAACACCTAACCCTAAACCTAACCCATACACCTAACCATAACCCTAACCCTAATCCTAAACCTAACCCTAACCCTAAATACTAACTGTAACCCTAACACTAACCCCTACCCTAACCACAAACCCTAACCCTAACCATAACCACTGACCCTAACCCAAACCATAACCCCTAAGCCTAACCCTTAAACCCTAACCCCAAAGCCTAACACAACAACCCAAACCATAACCCCTAACAGGAAGCCCTAAACCTAAACCCTAACCCTAACCCTAATCATAACCGTAACCATACCCACTAACCCTAAACCTAAAGGCAAACCAAAACCTAAACCCGAACCCTAACACTATAACCCTAACTGTAACCCGTAACTATAACAATTAATCTTACCCCTAACACCTAACCCTAAACCCAATACCTACCCATAACACTAACTGTAACCATAACCCTAAACCTAACAGTAACCCTAACCCTAACCCTAAACCAGACATTAAACCTAAACCTACCCCTAAAAATAAACCTAACCCTAAACCTAACACTAACCCTAACCCTAAAAATAACCCCTAAACCCTGACCCTAACAGTATAACACCAACTGTAACCCGTAACCATAACCCTAACCTCTAACCATAACCATAACCCTAACCCCAAACAATAACCCTAACCTCTAACCATAAACCTAACCTCTAACCCTAACCCTAACCATAACCGTAACCCTAAAACTAACCCCAATCATAACACTAACCCTGACCCTTAACCATAACCCTAACCCTAACCATAACCCTAACCTCTAACCATAAAACTAACCTCTAACCATAACCCTAACCATAACCATAACCCTAACCCCTAATCATAACTCTAACCCCGACCCCTAACCATAACACTAACCCCTAACAATACCCCTAACCTCTAACCCTAACCCTAACCCTAACCATAATGGCAACCCTAACCGCTAATCATAACTCTAACCCCAACCCTTAACCATAACCCTAACCCTAACAATAACCCTAACCTCTAACCATAACCCTAACCTCTAACCATAACCCTAACCTCTAACCATAACCATAACCTCTAACCATAACCCTAACCTCTAACCATAACCCTAACCCCTAATCATAACTCTAACCCCAAACCTTAACCATAACCCTAACCCTAACAATAACCCTAACCTCTAACCATAACCATAACCTCTAACCCTAACCATAACCTCTAACCATAACCCTAACCCCTAACAATAACCCTAACCTCTAACCATAACCCTAACCCTAACCCTAACTCCAACCCTAGGGGCTGACCCATAGCAAGGCACAGGAGATCCTGGCCCGGGACGGCCCGAACGCGCTGACGCCGCCGCCGATGACCCCCGAGTGGGTCAAGTTCTGCCGCCAGCTCTTTGGGGGCTTCTCCATCCTGCTCTGGATCGGGGCCATCCTCTGCTTCCTGGCCTACGGCATCCAGGCGGGCACCGAGGATGAGCCCTCCAATGACAACGTATGGGGGATATAGGGCGTGATGGGGGTAATAGGGGTATAAGGGGTAATGGGGGTATAGGGGGTGATGGTGATGATGGAGAGTGGGTACCAAGGATGAGCCCTCCAATGACAACGTATGGGGGATATAGGGGGTAATGGGGTATAGGGGGTAATGGGGGTATAGGGGGTATAGGGGGTAATGGGGGTGATGGGGGTATAGGGGGTAATGGGGGTGATGGGGTTATAGGGGGAGATAGGGGATGGAGGATGATGGGGATGATGGAGAGTGGGTACCAAGGATGAGCCCTCCAATGACAACGTATGGGGGATATAGGGGGTAATGGGGTATAGGGGGTATAGGGGGTGATGGAGGTATAGGGGGTAATGGGGGTGATGGGTGTATAGGGGGTAATGGAGCTATAGGGGGTAATGGGGGTATAGGGGGTGATGGTGATGATGGAGAGTGGGTACCAAGGATGAGCCCTCCAATGACAACGTATGGAGGATATGGGGGGTAATGGGTGTGATGGGGGTATAGGGGGTGATGGAGGTATAGGGGGTGATGAGGCTAATGGGGGTCATGGGGGTATTGGGGGTAATGGGGGTGATGGGGTTATAGGGGGAGATAGGGGATGGAGGATGATGGGGATGATGGAGAGTGGGTACCAAGGATGAGCCCTCCAATGACAACGTATGGGGCTATAGGGGATGTAGGGGCTAATGGGGGGTGATGGGGCTAATGGGGGTGATGGTGGTATAGGGGGTAATGGGGGTGATGGGGTTATAGGGGGAGATAGGGGATGGAGGATGATGGGGATGATGGAGAGTGGGTACCAAGGATGAGCCCTCCAATGACAACGTATGGGGCTATAGGGGATGTAGGGGATAATGGGGGGTAATGGGGCTAATGGGGGTGATGGTGATATAGGGGGTAATGGGGGTGATGGGGTTATAGGGGGAGATAGGGGATGGAGGAAGATGGGGATGATGGAGAGTGGGTACCAAGGATGAGCCCTCCAATGACAACGTATGGGGCTATAGGGGATGTAGGGGATAATGGGGGGTGATGGGGGTATAGGGGGTGATGGGGGTATAAGGGGTGATGGGGGTAATGGGGGTGATGGGGATGATGGAGAGTGGGTACCAAGGGTGAGCCCTCCAATGACAAAGTATGGGGCTGTGGGGGATATAGGGGGTGATGGGGGTATAGGGGGTGATGGGGGGGAATGGGGGTATAGGGGGTAACGGAGCTATAGGGGATGGGGGGTAATGGGGCGACATGGGGATGATGGAGGTGGGCAACAAGGACGAGCCCTCCAATGACAGTGTGAGAGTAGGGCTGTAGGGGGTCATAGGGGCTATAGGGGGCAATAGGGGCTATAGGGAGCTATAGGGGGAGATAGGGGATGGGGGGTGACGGGGACGATGGGGAGTGGGTACCAGGGATGAGCCCTCCAATGATAACGTGGGGCTGGGGGTGATGGAGGGGAGGGTAATAGGGGGCAATAAGAGCATTGGGGGGGGGGGGGCACTAGGGGATGGAGGGTGATGTGGGGCTGGGGCGGGAGCCCCAATGGGGTGTTTCTATGGGGCACAACCTCCATTTCCACCCCCTTAGTTATACCTGGGCATCGTCCTGGCTGCTGTCGTCATCATCACCGGCTGCTTCTCCTACTACCAAGAGGCCAAAAGCTCCAAGATTATGGAATCCTTCAAGAACATGGTGCCCCAGGTGGGGTTTTGGGGCAAATCCGGGGGGTTTTGGGCAAACTGGGGTGGTTTGGGGCCAAGTTGGGGTGGTTTGGGGGCAAATCGGGGTGTTTGGGGGTGTTCTGTGGGTAGGGATGCTGATGGGGTGAAGGATGCTGATGGGATGAAGGATGCTCAAGGGAGGTCCTACCCCCCCCCCCCCCCCCAATGTCTTCTGGACCCCCATAACGTGTTTCTCCCCCCCTCTGTTTTGCTGTCCCTGCCCCACACTTGGGGGTCCCTGCCCCACAGCAAGCCCTGGTGATCCGCGAAGGAGAGAAGATGCAGCTCAACGCCGAGGAGGTCGTGGTTGGGGACCTGGTGGAGGTGAAGGGGGGCGACCGTGTCCCTGCTGACCTGCGCATCATCTCGGCCCATGGGTGCAAGGTGGGGACCCCCAAATGCCCCAAAATACCCATAAACAGCCTCAAAATACCCTAAACCACCCCAAAATACCCATAAAACACCCCAAAATACCCTCAAAATAGCCTAAACCACCCCAAAATACCCATAAAACACCCCAAAATGCCCTCAAAATATCCTAAAACCACCCTAAAATACCCCTAAACCACCCTGAAATACCCTCAAAATACCCCTAAACCACCCCAAAATACCCCTAAACCACCCCAAAATACCTTAGAACACCCCAAAATACCCTCAAAACACCCCAAAATATCCTCAAAATACCCTAAACCACCCCAAAATACCCATAAAACACCCCAGAAATACCCTCAAAATACCCTAAAACCACCCAAAAATACCCATAAAACACCCAAAAATACTCTCAAAATACCCCTAAACCACCCAGAATTACCCTAAAAATACCCCAAACCGCCCCAAAAATACCCTCAGCATGCCCTAAACCACCCCAAATTACCCACAAAATACCCATAAACCACCCCAAAATACCCATAAAACACCCCAAAATACCCTCAAAAGACCCTAAAACCACTCCAAAATACCCATAAGCCACCAAAAAATACCCTCAAAAGACCCTAAACCCACCACAAAATACCCATAAAACACCAAAAAATACCCGCAAAAGACCCTAAAACCACCACAAAATGCACATAAAACACCCAAAAATACCCTCAAAATACCCCTAAACAACCCTAAAATACCCATAAACCACCCCAAAATACCCACAAAATACCCTAAACCATCCCAAAATATCCCTAAAACAAAATAGAAATACACCAAAAATGCCCCAAATTACCCCAAAACCAACCAAAAATACCCTCAAAACACCCCAAAATATCCTCAAAATACCCTACACCACCCCAAAATACCCATAAAACACCCAAAAATACACTCAAAATAGCCTCAAGCCACCCCAAAACACCCATACAACATACCAAAAATACCCTCAAAATACCCTAAAACCACCATAAAATACCCCTAAACCACCCTGAAATTCCCTCAAAATAGCCTAAAGCCACCCAAAATACCCATACACCAAAAATACCCTCAAAATACCCTAAAACCACCCCAAAATACCCCTAAGACACCCTGAAATACCATCGAAATACCCTAAACCACCCCAAAATATCCCTAAACCACCCCAAAATACCTTAGAACACCCCAAAATACCCTCAAAACACCCCAAAATACCCTCAAAATACCCTAAAACCACCCAAAAATACCCATAAAACACCCAAAAATACCCTCAAAATACCCCTAAACCACCCAGAATTACCCTCAAAATACCCCAAACCACCCCAAAAATACCCTCAGCATGCCCTAAACCACCCCAAATTACCCACAAAATACCCATAAACCACCCCAAAATACCCATAAAACACCCCAAAATACCCTCAAAAGACCCTAAAACCACTCCAAAATACCCATAAGCCACCAAAAATACCCTCAAAAGACCCTAAAACCACCCCAAAAAAAAAGGAAAACACCCAAAAATACCCTCAAAAGACCCTAAACCCACCACAAAATACCCATGAAACACCAAAAAATACCCGCAAAAGACCCTAAAACCACCACAAAAAGCACATAAAACACCAAAAAATACCCTCAAAATACCCCTAAAATACCCATAAACCACCCCAAAATACCCACAAAATACCCTAAACCATCCCAAAATATCCCTAGAACACCCTGAAATACCCCCAAACCACCCCGAAATACACCAAAAATGCCCCAAATTACCCCAAAACCAACCAAAAATACCCTCAAAATACCCCCAAAACATCCCAAAATCCCCTAAAACATCCTAAAATACCCTAAAAAAAACTGAAAAGCCCCAAAAGCACCCCAAACCACCCCAAAAAACCACCGAAACACCCCAAATTACCCCCAAACACCCCTAAAACACCACATAAAAACCTGAAGCACACCTCCAAAACACCCCCAAATACCCCAAACACCCTAAACCACCCCAATTGCACCCTAACCACCCCAAAATACCCCTAAACCACCCCCAAAATACCCCTAAACCACCCTAAAATACTACTGAAACACCCTGAAACACTCCAAAACCACCCCGAAATACCCCAAAACCACCCCAAAAATACCCTAAAACATCCCAAAATATCCCTAAACAACCCCAAAAGCCCTGATACACCCCAAAACCACCCCATAAAAACCTGAAACACACCAAAACCACCTCAAAATACCCCAAAACTCTCCCAACACACCCAAAAATACCCTAAACCACCCCCAAAACCCTGAAACACCCCAAACCCACCCCAAAACATCCCCAAAACACCCCCAAAACACCCTAGAACACCTTTAGGACCCCCATAACCCCTTTAGGACCACTTTAGGACCCCCATAACCCCTTTAGGACCCCTTTAGGAAACCCGTAACCCCTTTAGAACCCCTTTTGTACCCATCAAACCCCTTTAGGACCCCTTTAAGACCCCCATAACCCCTTTAGGACCCCCATAACCCCTTTAGAACCCCTTTTGTCCCCATCAAACCCCTTTAGGACCCCTTTTGACCCCATCAAACCCCATAACCCCTTCAAGACCCCCATAACCCCTTCAGGACCCCTCTAATCCCCATCAGACCATTTTAGGATCACCTTAGGACCCCCATAACCCCTTTAGGAGCCACAAAACCCCTTTAGGACCCCTTTAAGACCCCCATAACCCCTTTAGGACCCCCATAACCCCTTCAGGACCCCTCTAATCCCCATCAGACCATTTTAGGATCACCTTAGGACCCCCATAACCCCTTTAGGAGCCACAAAACCCCTTTAGGACCCCTGCCAAACGCCTTTAGGACCCCTTTAGGACCTGCATAACCCCTTTAGAACCCCTTTAGAACCCCTTTAGGTTCCCTTTAAGACCCCCATATCCCCTTTAGGAGACCCCCCAAACCCCTTTAGGACCCCTTTAAGACCCCCATAACCCCTTTAGGACCCCCCCAAACCCCTTTAGAATCCCTTTGATACCTCCCTAAACCCCTTTAGGACCCCCATAACCCCTTTAGGACCCCTTTGGGACCCCCGTAACCGCTTTAGAACCACTTTTGTCCCCATCAGCCCCCTTTAGGACCACTTTAGGACCCCCATGACCCCTTTAGGACCCCTTTAGGACCCCTTTTGTCCCCATCAAACCCCTTTAGGACCCCTTTAAGACACCCATAACCCCTTTAGGACACCCATAACCCCTTTAGGACCCGTTTTGTCCCCATCAAACCCCTTTAGGACCCCTTTAAGACCCCCATAACCCCTTTAGGACCCCTCTAATCCCCATCAGACCATTTTAGGATCACCTTAGGACCCCCATAACCCCTTTAGGAGCCACAAACCCCCTTTAGGACCCCTGCCAAATGCCTTTAGGACACCTTTAGGACCTGCATAACCCCTTTAGAACCCCTTTAGAACCCCTTTAGGATCCCTTTAAGACCCCCATAACCCCTTTAGGACCCCCCCCCAAACCCCTTTAGGACCCCTTTAAGACCCCCATAACCCCTTTAGGACCCCCCAAACCCCTTTAGAATCCCTTTGATACCTCCCTAAACCCCTTTAGGACCCCCATAACCCCTTTAGGACCCCTTTGGGACCCCCATAACCCCTTTAGAACCCCTTTTGTCCCCATCAGACCCCTTTAGGACCACTTTAGGACCCCCATAACCCCTTTAGGACCCCTTTAGGACCCCCATAACCCCTTTAGGACCCCTCTAATCCCCATCAGACCCCTTTAGGACCACCTTAGGAGCCACATAACCCCTTTAGGACCCCCATAACCCCTTTAGGAGCCACAAAACCCCTTTAGGACCCCTGCCAAACACCTTTAGGACCCCTTTAGGACCTGCATAACCCCTTTAGAACCCCTTTAGAACCCCTTTAGGACCCCTTTAAGACCCCCATAACCCCTTTAGGACCCCCCCAAACCCCTTTAGAATCCCTTTGATACCTCCCTAAACCCCTTTAGGACCCCTTTAGGACCCCCCTAACCCATTTAGGACCCATTTAGGACCCCCATAACTCCTTTAGGACCCCTTTAGGACCCCCATAACCCCCTTAGGCCCCCCCATAACTCCTTTGCCCCCCCCCAGGTTGACAACTCCTCACTGACTGGTGAATCAGAGCCCCAGACCCGCTCCCCCGACTGCACCCACGACAACCCCTTGGAGACGCGCAACATCACCTTCTTCTCCACCAACTGCGTTGAGGGTGGGTATGGGGTCCATAGGGGGCCATTGGGGTCCTTATGGGGTCCCCAATGGGGTTTGGGGTTCCATAGACCTCTATCGGGGTCTCTATGGGGTGCCCAAGATGGGTTAAGGTCAGGTTTGGGGGTCCCGTTGGAGAGGCGCAACATCACCTTCTTCTCCACCAACTGCGTTGAGGGTGGGTATGGGGTCCATAGGGGACCATTGGGGTCCTTATGGGGTCCCCAATGGGGTTTGGGGTTCCATAGAGCTCTATTGGGGTTTCTATGGGGTGCCCAAGATAGGTTAGGGGCAGGTTTGGGGGTCCCGTTGGAGATGCGCATCATCACCTTCTTCTCCACCAACTGCGTTGAGGGTGGGTATGGGGTCCATAGGGGGCCATTGGGGTCTCTATGGGGTCCCCAATGGGCTTTGGGGGTCCATAGAGCTCTATTGGGTTCTCTATGGGGCGCCCAAGATGGGTTAGGGGCAGGTTTGGGGGTCCCGTTGAAGATGCGCATCATCACCTTCTTCTTCATCAACTGCGTTGAGGGTGGGTATGGGGTCCATAGGGGGCCACTGGGGTCCTTATGGGGTCCCCAATGGGGTTTGGGGTTCCATAGAGCTCTATCAGGGTCTCTATGGGGTGCCCAAGATGGGTTAGGGGCAGGTTTGGGGGTCCCGTTGGAGATGTGCAACATCACCTTCTTCTCCACCAACTGCGTTGAGGGTGGGTATGGGGTCCATAGGAGACCATTGGGGTCCTTATGGGGTCCCCAATGGGGTTTGAGGTTCCATAGAGCTCTATTGGGGTTTCTATGGGGCGCCCAAGATGGGTTAGGGGCAGGTTTGGGGGTCCCGTTGGAGATGCGCAACATCACCTTCTTCTCCACCAACTGCGTTGAGGGTGGGTATGGGGCCCATAGGGGGCCATTGGGGTCCTTATGGGGTCCCCAATGGGGTTTGGGGGTCCATAGAGCTCTACTGGGGTCTCTATGGGGTGCCCAAGATGGGTTAGGGGCAGGTTTGGGGGTCCCGTTGGAGATGCGCAACATCACCTTCTTCATCAGCTGCGTTGAGGGTGGGTTTGGGGTCCATAGGGGGGCATTGGGGTCTCTATGGGGTCCCCAATGGGCTTTGGGGGTCCATAGAGCTCTATTGGGGTCTCTATGGGGTGCCCAAGATGGGTTAGGGGCAGGTTTGGGGGTCCCGTTGAAGATGCGCATCATCACCTTCTTCTTCATCAACTGCGTTGAGGGTGGGTATGGGGTCCATAGGGGGCCATTGGGGTCTCTATGGGGTCCCCAATGGGGTTTGAGGTTCCATAGACCTCTATCGGGGTCTCTATGGGGTGCCCAAGATGGGTTAGGGGCAGGTTTGGAGGTCCCGTTGGAGATGCGCAACATCACCTTCTTCTCCACCAACTGCGTTGAGGGTGGGTATGGGGTCCATAGGAGACCATTGGGGTCCTTATGGGGTCCCCAATGGGGTTTGAGGTTCCATAGACCTCTATTGGGGTCTCTATGGGGTGCCCAAGATGGGTTAGGGGCAGGTTTGGGGGTCCCGTTGGAGATGCGCAACATCACCTTCTTCTCCACCAACTGCGTTGAGGGTGGGTATGGGGTCCATAGGGGGCCATTGGGGTCTCTATGGGGTCCCCAATGGGGTTTGGGGGTCCATAGAGCTCTACTGGGGTCTCTATGGGGTGCCCAAGATGGGTTAGGGACAGGTTTGGGGGTCCCGTTGGAGACGCGCAACATCACCTTCTTCATCAGCTGCGTTGATGGTGGGTATGGGGTCCATAGGGGGCCATTGGGGTCCTTATGGGGTCCCCAATGGGGTTTGGGGGTCCATAGAGCTCTATCGGGGTCTCTATGGGGTGCCCCAGATGGGTTAGGGGCAGGTTTGGGGGTCCCATTGGAGATGCGCAACATCACCTTCTTCATCAGCTGCGTTGAGGGTGGGTTTGGGGTCCATAGGGGGGCATTGGGGTCTCTATGGGGTCCATAGGGGTGCATTGAGGTCCTTATGGGGTCCCCAATGGGGTTTGGGGGTCCTGGCTGGGTTCAGTGGGACTCCTAGTGCAGTTTTGGGGCTGGTTTTGCGCTCCTGGAGCCCGTTTTGGGGTTCCTAGACTCCTTTTTGGCTTCCCAGACCCATTTCTGGGTTCCTAGACCCATTTCTTGATGTCCGAGACCCATTTTCAGGCTGTAAGACCCCATTTCTGGCTGTTCTAGCACCATTTTTGAGGTCCTAGACCCCATTTCTGTGTTCCTTGACCCATTTTTTGATGTCCTAGGCCCGTTTTTGATGTCCTAGACCCATTTCTTGATATTCTACACTCATTTCTTGATGCCCTACTCCCATTTTTGAGCTCCTAGACCCAATTCTTGGTGTTCTACACCCATTTTTTATGTCCTAGACCCATTTCTCAACGCCTTAGACCCATTTTTGGGTGTTCTAACCCCGTTTTTGGATGTTCTAACCCCATTTTTGGCGCCCTTGTTCCAGGCACTGCTCGCGGGGTGGTGACCGCCACTGGGGACCGCATGGTGATGGGTTCCTAGACCCATTTCTTCATGTCCTAGACCCATTTCTTCATGTTCTACATCCATTTTTGATGTCCTCGACCCATTTCTTGATGTCCTAGTGCTATTACTGAGCTCCTAGACCCATTTCTTGATGTCCTAATCCCATTTTTGAGCTCCTAGACTCATTTCTTGATGTTCTACCCCATTTTCTGGGTTCCTAGACCCATTTCTTGATGTCCTACACCCATTTTTGAGCTCCTAGACCCGTTTCTTGATGTCCTAGACCCATTTCTTGATGTCCTACACCCATTTTTGAGCTCCTAGACCCATTTCTCCATGTCCAAGACCCATTTTTTGGCTCCTAAACCCCATTTTTGGTTGTTTTAACCCCATTTTTGGTGCCCTTGTTCCAGGCACTGCTCGAGGGGTGGTGATCGCCACTGGGGACCGCACGGTGATGGGTTCCTAGACCCATTTCTTCATGTCCTACACCCATTTCTTGATGTTCTACACCCATTTTTGATGTCCTAGACCCATTTTTGATGTCCTCGACCCATTTCTTAATGTCCTAATGCTATTACTGAGCTCCTAGACCCATTTCTTGATGTCCTAGACCCATTTCTTGATTTCCAACATCCATTTATTGAAGTCCTAGTCCCATTTTTGATGTTCTACACCCATTTCTTGATGTTCTAATCCCATTTTTGAGCTCCTAGACCCATTTCTTGACGTTCTACACCCATTTCTTGATGTCCTAGACCCATTTTGATGTCCTATACCTATTTCTTGATGCCCTAGTGCTATTACTGACCTCCTAGACCCATTTCTTGAGATCCTAGGGCCATTTCTCCATGTCTTAGACCCATTTTTCGATGTTCTACACCCATTTTTGAGCTCCTAGAGCTATTTCTCCACGTCCAAGACCCATGTTTTGGGTCCTAAACCCCATTTTTTTGTGGTTTTAACCCCATTTTTGGTGTCCTTGTTCCAGCTACTGCTTGCGGGGTGGTGATCGCCACCGGGGACCTCACGGTGATGGGTCCCTAGACCCATTTCTTCATGTCCTACACCCATTTTTGAGCTCCTAGACCCATTTCTTGATGTCCTACACCCATTTTTGAGCTCCTAGACCCATTTCTTGATGTCCTACACCCATTTCTTGATGTCCTACACCCATTTTTGAGCTCCTAGAACTATTTCTCCACGTCCAAGACCCATGTTTTGGGTCCTAAACCCCATTTTTTTGTCTCTTAAACCCCATTTTTGGTGCCCTTGTTCCAGGCACTGCTCGCGGAGTGGTGATCGCCACCGGAGACCGCACGGTGATGGGTTCCTAGACCCATTTCTTCATGTCCTACACCCATTTTTGAGCTCCTACACCCATTTCTTGATGTCCTACACCCATTTTTGAGCTTGTAGACCCATTTCTTGATGTCCTACACCCATTTCTTGATGTCCTAATCCCATTTTTGAGTTCCTAGCCCCATTTCTCCATGTCCAAGACCCATTTTTTGGCTCCCAAACCCCATTTTTGGTTGTTCTAAGCCCATTTTTGGTGCCCTTGTTCCAGCTACTGCTCGCGGGGTGGTGATCGCCACCGGGGACCGCACGGTGATGGGTTCCTAGACCCATTTCTTCATGTCCTACACCCATTTTTGAGCTCCTAGACCCATTTCTTGATGTCCTACACCCATTTTTGAGCTCCTAGACCCATTTCTTCATGTCCTACACCCATTTCTTGATGCCCTAATCCCATTTTTGAGCTCCTAGACCCATTTCTCCATGTCCAAGACCCATGTTTTGGGTCCTAAACCCCATTTTTGGTTGTTTTAACCCCATTTTTGGTGCCCTTGTTCCAGGCACTGCTCGCGGGGTGGTGATCGCCACTGGGGACCGCACGGTAATGGGTTCCTAGACCCATTTCTTGATGTCCTACACCCATTTTTGAGCTCCTAGACCCATTTCTTGATGTCCTACACCCATTTCTTGATGTCCTAATCCCATTTTTGAGCTCCTAGACCCATTTCTCCATGTCCAAGACCCATTTCTTGATGTCCTAATCCCATTTTTGAGCTCCTAGACCCATTTCTCCATGTCCAAGACCCATTTTTTGGCTCCTAAACCCCATTTTTTGTGGTTTTAACCCCATTTTTGGTGCCCTTGTTCCAGGCACTGCTCGCGGGGTGGTGATCGCCACCGGGGACCGCACGGTGATGGGCCGCATCGCCACGCTGGCATCGGGGCTGGAGGTGGGCAAGACGCCGATCGCGGTGGAGATCGAGCACTTCATCCAGCTCATCACCGGCGTGGCCGTGTTCCTGGGCATCTCCTTCTTCATCCTCTCCCTCATCCTGGGGTACACCTGGCTCGAGGCCGTCATCTTCCTCATCGGCATCATCGTGGCCAACGTGCCCGAGGGGCTGCTGGCCACCGTCACCGTAAGTTGGGGCGGGTACGGGGTGATGTATGGGGTGATGGATGGGGTGCTGGAAGGGGTGATGTATAGGGTGTAGGGGTGATGTATGGGGTGTAGGGGTGATGTATGGGGTGTAGGGGTGATGTATGGGGTGTAGGGATAAAGTATGGAGTGATGTGTGGGGTGATGTATGGAGTGATGTATGGAGTGTAGGGGTAATGTATGGGGTGACATATAGGGTGTAGGCGTGATGTATAGGGTGATGTATGAGGTGATGTATGGGGTGTAGCGGTAATGTATGGGGTGACGTATAGGGTGTAGGCGTGATGTATGGGGTGATGTATGGGGTGTAGGGGTGATGGATGGGGTAATGGATGGGGTGATGTATGAGATGTAGGGGTGATGTATGAGGTGATATATGGGATGATGTATGGGGTGTAGGGGCAATTTATGGGGTGATGTATGGGGTGTAGGGGTAATGTATGGGGTGACGTATAGGGTGTAGGCGTGATGTATGGGGTGATGGATGAGGTGATGGATGGGGTGTAGGGGTGATGGATGGGGGAATGGATGGGATGATGTATGGGGTGTCGGGGTAATTTATGGGGTGATGTATGGGGTGATGTATGGGGTGATGTATGGGGTGTAGGGGTAATGGATGGGATGTAGGTGTGATGGATGGGGTGACATATGGGGTGTAGGGGTGATGTATGGGGTGTTGCATGGGGTGATGTATGGGGTGATGTATGGGGTGATGTATGGGGTGATGTATGGGGTGATGCATGGGGTGATGCATGGGGTGTAGGGGTGATGTATGGGGTGTAGGGATAAAGTATGGAGTGATGTGTGGGGTGATGTATGGTGTGATGTATGGGGTGTAGGGGTAATGTATGGGGTGACATATAGGGTGTAGGCGTGATGTATAGGGTGATGTATGAGGTGATGTATGGGGTGTAGGGGTGATGGATGGGGTGATGGATTGGGTGATGTACAGGATGTAGGGGTGATGTATGAGGTGATATATGGGATGATGTATGGGGTGTAGGGGTAATTTATGGGGTGATGTATGAAGTGATGTATGGGGTGATGTATGGGGTGTAGGGGTAATGTATGGGGTGTAGGTGTGATGGATGGGGTGATGTATAGGGTGTAGGGGTGATGTATGGGGTGATGTATGGGGTGTAGGGGTGATGGATGGGCTGATGGATGGGGTGTAGGCATGATGGATGGGGTGAGGTATGGGGTGTGGGGGTGATGTGTGGGGGTGATGTGTGGGGTGATGTATGGGGTGATGTATGGGGTGATGTATGGGGTGGTGCGTGGGGTGACGTACAGGTAGCAGAGGGTAATATATAGATGTATGGTGTCAACATATGGGTTGTAAGGGGCTATATATGGGGTGATATATGGATCATAGAGGGCAATGTATAGGGCTCAATACATGGGTGCTAGGGTGCAACATATAGATGCATGGGGGCAATATAGGGCATGCAGGGGGTGATATATTCGGTGACAGGTGTAATATATGGGGCGAGGAGGGCAATATATGGGTTGTAAGGGGGGTATAGGGGGTGCAGGGGCGATATATGGGGTGACAGGTGCAATATATGGGGCAAAGGAGGTGACGTATGGGGTGTAACAGGTAATGTATGGGCGTATAGGGGCAATATATGGGGTGCTAGGGGAATATGTGGGGTTCAGGATCCATATATGGGGAGTCTGGGTCCAGTATCGGGGTGCCATAGGTGCTCCATACACCCCATAGGGACCCCATGCCCAGCATAGGGCTGCAGCCTGACTTTGGAAGCTAAGCAGGGTCGGCCCCGGTCAGCACTTGGATGGGAGACCTTTGTTGACCAGAGGGTTCTGGGTTCGAATCCCCCCATGCATCACCCATACCGGAGGGTCCCATGGGTGCTGTGTGACCCCCCCCCCCCCCATAGGTGTGCTTGACGCTGACAGCCAAGCGCATGGCACGCAAGAACTGCTTGGTGAAGAACCTGGAGGCGGTGGAGACCTTGGGCTCCACGTCCACCATCTGCTCTGACAAGACCGGGACCCTCACCCAAAACCGTATGACCGTGGCCCATATGTGGTTCGACAACCAGATCCATGAGGCCGACACCACCGAGGACCAGTCCGGTGCGTGATGGGGGGTGATGGGGGCCGGCTATTAGATGGTGGTTGGGGTCTATTGGGGGGTCTTTGGTATCTGTTGGGCACCTCTGGGGGGGCTCTATGGGGTCTATATGGGGTCTATGAGGTGTTTATTGGGGTCTATGGGGTCTTTCTGGGGTCTATGGGGGGTCTATGGAGGGTTCGTTGGGGTGTCTACGGGGGTCTATTGACATCTATGGGGTCTCTATGGCATCTCTATTGATGTCCATGAGGTCTCTGTTGACATCTATGGGGTCTCTATGGCATCTCTGTTGACGTCTATGGGGTCTCTATGGTGTCTCTGTTGATGTCCATGAGGTCTCTGTTGACGTCTATGGGGTCTCTATGGCGTCTCTGTTGACGTCTATGGGGTCTCTATGGCGTCTCTGTTGACATCTATGGGGTCTTTATGGCATCTCTGTTGACATCTATGGGGTCTCTATGGCATCTCTGTTGATGTCTATGGGGTGTCTGTTGACATCTATGGGGTCTCTATGGCGTCTCTATTGATGTCTATGGGGTCTCTATGGCGTCTCTGTTGACGTCTATGGGGTCTCTATGGCGTCTCTGACGTCTATGGGGTCTCTATGGTGTCTCTGTTGACATCTATGGGGTCTCTATGGTGTCTCTGTTGACGTCTATGGGGTCTCTATGGCGTCTCTGTTGACGTCTATGGGGTCTCTATGGCGTCTCTGTTGACGTCTATGGGGTCTCTATGGCGTCTCTGTTGACGTCTATGGGGTCTCTATGGCGTCTCTGTTGACGTCTATGGGGTCTCTATGGCGTCTCTGTTGACGTCTATGGGGTCTCTATGGTGTCTCTGTTGACATCTATGGGGTCTCTATGGTGTCTGTTGACATCTATGGGGTCTCTATGGTGTCTCTGTTGACGTCTATGGGGTCTCTATGGCGTCTCTGACGTCTATGGGGTCTCTATGGCATCTCTATTGACGTCTATGGGGTCTCTATGGCATCTCTGTTGACGTCTATGGGGTCTCTATGGCATCTCTGTTGACGTCTATGGGGTCTCTATGGCATCTCTGTTGACGTCTATGGGGTCTCTATGGCATCTCTGTTGACATCTATGGGGTCTCTATGGTGTCTCTGTTGACGTCTATGGGGTCTCCATGGCATCTCTGTTGATGTCTATGGGGTCTCTATTGATGTCTATGGGGGGTCTATGAGGTCTCTCTGGGGTCTATGGGGTCTCTCTGAGGTCTATGGGAGGTCTATTGCAGGTCTATGGGGTGTCTATGGGGTCTCTCTGTGGCCTGTTTGGGGTCTATTGGTGTCTATGGCATCTCTATGGGCATCTATTGGGGTCTCTACGGCATCTCCATTGATGTCTATGAGGTCTCTATAGGGTCTCTATAGGGTCTCTGTTGATGTCTATGGGGTCTCTATTGATGCCTATGAGGTGTCTATAGGGTCTCTATGGGGTCTCTATTGATGTCTATGGGGTCTCTGATGTCTAGGGGGGCTCTGTTGATGTCTGTGGGTCTCTAGTGGATGTCTATGGAGTCTCTAGTGACATCTTTGAGGTCTCTTGATGTCTATGGGTCCCTATAGGGTCCCTATGGTGTCTCTATTGATGTCTATGGGGGGTCTATTGGTATGTAAGGAGTCTCTATTGACATCTATAGGGTCTCTATAGGGTGTCTATGGGGTCTCTATTGGTGTCTATGGGGTCTGTATAGGATCTCTATTGGGTGTCTATAGGGTCTCTATGGGTCTCTATTGACCTCTATGAGGTCTCTGCTGGTTATGGTGTCTCTATAGGGTCTCTATGCGGTTTCTATGTGTCTCTATGGGTCTCTATGGGTCTCTATGGGTCTCTATGGGTCTCTATGGGTCTCTATGGGTCTCTATAGGGTCTCTATGGGCCTGACCCCCCTATGTCTCCCCCCAGGCACCGCCTTTGACAAGAGCTCAGCCACATGGGTGGCTCTGTCCCACATCGCGGGGCTCTGCAACCGCGCCGTCTTCAAGGGGGGGCAGGAGAACGTCCCCATCCTCAAGGTAACAATGGGGGGCAATGGGGGTAATGGAGACAATGGGGTCAATGGGGACAATGGGGACCATGGGGTTGATGGGGGTAATGAGGTCAATAGGGGTAATGAGGTCAATGGGGACAATGGGGTCAATGGGGACAATGGGGGTAATGGGGTCAATGGGGACATTGGGGGCAAAGGGGGGCAATGGAAGCAACGGGGTCAACGGGGGCAATGGGGACAATGGGGTCAATGGGGGACAATGGAAGCAATGGGGTCAATGAGAGCAATGGGGTCAATGGGGACAATGGTGTCAATGGGGGTCAATGGGGTCAAGGGGTGCAATGAGGTCAATGGGGCCAGTAGGTACAACGGGGTCAATGGTGGTCAATGGCTGACAGTGGTGTCAATGGGGTCAATGGGTACAATGGGGGACAATGGGGTCAATGGGGGTGCAATGGGGTCAATGGGGCCAATGGGTACAATGGGGTCAATGGTGGTCAATGGCTGACAGTGGTGTCAATGGGGCCAATGGGTACAATGGGGTCAATGGGGGACAATGGGGTCAATGGGACAATGGAAGCAATGGGGTCAATGGGGACAAGAGGGCCAATGGGGGTCAATGGGGCCAATGGTGATCAATGGGGCCAATGGTGGTCAATGGGGTCAATGGTGGTCAATGGGGGTTAATGGGGCCAATGGGGGTCAATGGAAGCAATGGGGGTCAATGGGGCCAGTGGTGGTCAATGGGGCCAATGGTGGTCAATGGTCGTCAATGGGACCAATGGTGGTCAATGGGGCCAATGGTGATCAATGGGGCTCAATGGGGCCAATGGTGGTCAATGGGGCCAATGGTGATCAATGGGGCTCAATGGTGGTCAATGGGTGACAATGGGGCCAATGGTGGTCAATGGGGCCAATGGTGGTCAATGGGGCTCAATGGGGCCAATGGTGATCAATGGTGGTCAATGGGGCCAATGGTGATCAATGGGGCCATGGGGTCCCCCCTCATCCCGTTGCATCCATCCCCGTTCCCAGCGGGACGTGGCCGGGGACGCCTCGGAGTCGGCGCTGCTCAAGTGCATCGAGCTCTCGTCCGGCTCCGTCAAGCTCATGCGGGAGCGCAACAAGAAAGTGGCCGAGATCCCCTTCAACTCCACCAACAAGTACCAGGTACCCAATGGGAGGCGCCCTATATCCAATGGGAGACACCCTAAATACAATGGGAGGCACCCCACATCCAATGGGAAACACCCTAAATACAATGGGATACATCCCACATCCAATGGGAGACAACCTAAATACAATGGGAGACATCCCACATCCAATGGGAGACAACCTAAATACAATGGGAGACATCCCACATCCAATGGGAGACACCCTAAATACAATGGGAGGCACCACACATCCAATGAGAGGCACCCCACATCCTGTGGGAGGCACCCCACATCCAATGGGAGACAGCCTAAATACAATGGGAGGCACCACACATCCAATGGGAAACAACCTAAATACAATGGGAGGCACCCCACATCCTGTGGGAGACACCCCACATCCAATGGGAAACAACCTAAATACAATGGGAGGCACCCCACATCCAATGGGAGGTGCCCCACATCCTGTGGTAGGCACCCCACATCCAATGGGAGACAACCTAAATACAATGGGAGACACCCCATCCAATGGGAGGCACCCAACATCCAATGGGAAACACCCTATATCCAATGGGAGACACCCTAAATACAATGGGATACATCCCACATCCAATGGGAGACAACCTAAATATAATGGGAGGCACCCCACATCCAATGGGAGACAACCTAAATACAATGGGAGGCACCCCACATCCAATGGGAGACAACCTAAATACAATGGGAGGCACCCCACATCCTGTGGGAGACACCCCACATCCAATGGGAGACAACCTAAATACAATGGGAGGCACCCCACATCCGATGGGAGACACCCTAAATACAATGGGAGACACCCCACATCCAATGGGAAACACCTTAAATACAATGGGATACATCCCACATCCAATGGGAGACAACCTAAATACAATGGGAGGCACCCCACATCCAATGGGAGACAACCTAAATACAATGGGAGGCACCCCACATCCAATGGGAGACAACCTAAATACAATGGGAGGCACCCCACATCCCATGGGAGACACCCCAAATCCAATGGGAGGCACACTATATCCAATGGGAGACACCCTAAATACAATGGGAGACATCCCACATCCCATGGGAGACACCCCACATCCAGTGGGAGACATCCCACGTCCAATGGGAGACACCCTAAATACAATGGGAGGCACCCCACATCCCATGGGAGACTCCCCATCCCCATTCCCCCCCATCCCCATATCCCCCCATCCCATTCCCATTCCCCCTTATCCCCATATCCCCCCATCCCCATTCCCATTCCTCCCCCATCCCCATATCCCCCCATTCCCATTCCCCCCATCCCCATATCCCCCCATTCCCATCCCCATTCCTCCCCCATCCCCATATCCCCCCAACCCCATTCCCATTCCAGCCTATCCCCATATCCCCCCATTCCCATTCCCCCCTATCCCCATATCCCCCCATCCCCATTCCCCCCATCCCCATTCCCATTCCACCCCCCCCCATTCCCAGCCCCTAAAACCCCCTCAATATCCCTCTCCATCACCCCCTATAGCTATAACTCTGTATGTGGGGCAGGCTCACCCCTTGGCCCCATAGATCCCCTCTACGTCACCCCACAGCTCTCCATCCACGAGACCGAGGACCCCAATGACAACCGGTACCTGTTGGTGATGAAGGGGGCACCGGAACGCATCCTGGATCGGTGTTCCACGATCCTGCTCCAGGGCAAGGAGCAACCCTTGGATGAGGAGATGAAGGAAGCCTTCCAGAACGCATACCTGGAGCTTGGGGGGCTCGGGGAGAGGGTCCTGGGTAAGGGGGCAGAGGGGGGATATAGGGTGATAGGGATATAGGGGGATATAGGGGGATATAGGGATAGGGATGCAAGGAGCATCCCTTGGATGAGGAGATGAAGGAAGGGATATAGGGATGGGTGTAAGGGGGCGGAGGGGGGATATAGGGGGATATAGGGGGATATAGGGGGATATAGGGATGGGGACGCAAGGAGCATCCCTTGGATGAGGAGATGAAGGGATAAAGCATACCTGGATGGGGATATAGGGGGATAGGGACATAGGGATGGGGATAAGGGGGATATAGGGATGGGGGTATGGGGATATAGGGGGATATAGGGGGATATAGGGACAGGGATGTAGGGATGGGGATATAGGGATTGGGATATAGGGGTGGGGGGTAGAGGGATGGGGATATAGGGGGATAGAGGGATAGAGGAGGATAGGGATGGGGATAGAGGGATGGGGATATAGGGATGGGGATATAGGGATGGGGGTATAGGGGGGTATAGGGATGGGGATATAGGGATGGAGATATAGGGGGATATAGGGATGGGGATATAGGGATGGGGTTATAGGGGGGATATAGGGATGGGGGTAGAGGGATAGGGATATAGGGATGGGGATATAGGGGGATATAGGGATGGGGGTATAGGGATGGAGATATAGGGGGATATAGGGATGGGGATAGAGGGGGGTATAGGGATGGGGGTATAGGGGGGATATAGGGATGAGGGTATAGGGATGGGTATCTAGGAATGGGGCTATAGGGGGATATAGGGATGGAGATATAGGTGGACATAGAGGGTGAGGATGGGGATATAGGGGGAGATATCCCTATAGGATGAGATGGGAATGGGGCTCGGGGGGGGATATAGGGGGATACGGGCATCCCTGGGGGGCTGAGGATGGGATATGGGGTCCCTGAGGTCCTTGGGATATGGGGCTACGGAAGTGCAGAGGGGCTGAAAGGGATCTATAGGGCTACAAAGGGGGGTGTTTTGGGTACAAAAAGGGTGTTTTGGGGTGCAAAGGGAGTATTTTGGGGTATAAAGGGATAAGTTTGGGTACAAAGGGTGTATTTTGGGGTAGAAAAGGAGAGTTTGGGGGCACAAAAGGGAGTATTTTGGGGGAGAAAAGGGATGTTTTGGGGTACAAAGGGAGTAATTTGGGGTAGGAAGGGGTAAGTTTGGAGTACAAAGGGTGTATTTTGGGGTAGAAAAGGAGTGTTTTGGGGTACAAAGGGTGTATTTTGGGATAGAAAAGGAGTGTTTTGGAGTAGAAAGGGTATTTTGGGGTAGAAAAGGGGTGTTTTGAGGCCCAAAGGGGTATTTTGGCAGAGAAAAGGGATGTTTTGGGGTACAAAGGGAGATTTTGGGGTATAAAGGGATAAGTTTGGGGTAGAAAGGGAGTATTTTGGGGGAGAAAAGGAGAGTTTGGGGGCACAAAAGGGAGTATTTTGGGGGAGAAAAGGGATGCTTTGGGGTATAAAGGGAGTAATTTGGGGTAGAAAGGGGTAAGTTTGGGGTACAAAGGGCATATTTTGGGGTAGAAAAGGAGTGTTTTGGGGTACAAAGGGTGTATTTTGGGATAGAAAAGGAGTGTTTTGGAGTAGAAAGGGTATTTTGGGGTAGAAAAGGGGTGTTTTGAGGCCCAAAGGGGTATTTTGGCAGAGAAAAGGGATGTTTTGGGGTACAAAGGGAGATTTTGGGGTATAAAGGGATAAGTTTGGGGTACAAAGGGTGTATTTTGGGGCAGAAAAGGAGAGTTTGGGGGCACAAAAGGGAGTATTTTGGGGGAGAAAAGGGATGTTTTGGGGTAGAAAGGGAGTATTTTGGGGTCGAAAAGGGGTGTTTCAGGGCACAAAAGGGGTATTTTGGGGTATAAAGGTAGTATTTTGGGGTAGAAAGGGGTAAGTTTGGGGTACAAAGGGCATATTTTGGGGTAGAAAAGTTGTGTTTTGGGGTACAAAGGGAGTATTTTGGGGTAGAAAAGGGGTGTTTTGGAGTAGAAAGGGAGTATTTTGGGTACAAAAAGGGTGTTTTGGGGTGCAAAGGGAGTATTTTGGGGCACAAAAAGGGTGTTTTGGGGTGCAAAGGGAGTATTTTGGGTACAAAAAGGGTGTTTTGGGGTGCAAAGGGAGTATTTTGGGTACAAAAAGGGTGTTTTGGGGTCTAAAGGGAGTATTTTGGGTCCAAAAAGGGTGTTTTGGGGAGCAAAGGGAGTATTTGGGGTACAAAAAGGGTGTTTTGGGGGGCAAAGGGAGTATTTTGGGTACAAAAAGGGTGTTTTGGGGGGCAAAGGGAGTATTTTGGGGTACAAAAAGGGTGTTTTGGGGGGCAAAGGGAGTATTTTGGGTACAAAAAGGGTGTTTTGGGGTGCAAAGGGTGTATTTTGGGTACAAAAAGGGTGTTTTGGGGGGCAAAGGGTGTATTTTGGGTACAAAAAGGGTGTTTTGGGGGGCAAAGGGAGTATTTTGGGGCACAAAAAGGGTGTTTTGGGGTGCAAAGGGTGTATTTTGGGTACAAAAAGGGTGTTTTGGGGTGCAAAGGGTGTATTTTGGGTACAAAAAGGGTGTTTTGGGGTGCAAAGGGTGTATTTTGGGTACAAAAAGGGTGTTTTGGGGGGCAAAGGGAGTATTTTGGGGTACAAAAAGGGTGTTTTGGGGGGCAAAGGGAGTATTTTGGGGTACAAAAAGGGTGTTTTGGGGTGCAAAGGGTGTATTTTGGGTACAAAAAGGGTGTTTTGGGGGGCAAAGGGTGTATTTTGGGTACAAAAAGGGTGTTTTGGGGTCTAAAGGGAGTATTTTGGGTCCCAAAAGGGTGTTTTGGGGGGCAAAGGGAGTATTTTGGGGTACAAAAAGGGTGTTTTGGGGGGCAAAGGGAGTATTTTGGGGCACAAAAAGGGTGTTTTGGGGGGCAAAGGGAGTATTTTGGGTACAAAAAGGGTGTTTTGGGGTGCAAAGGGAGTATTTTGGGGCACAAAAAGGGTGTTTTGGGGGGCAAAGGGAGTATTTTGGGTACAAAAAGGGTATTTTGGGGGGCAAAGGGTGTATTTGGGGCACAAAAAGGGTGTTTTGGGGTGCAAAGGGAGCATTTTGGGTACAAAAAGGGTGTTTTGGGGTGCAAAGGGAGTACTTTGGTGCACAAAAAGGGTGTTTTGGGGTGCAAAGGGAGTATTTTGGGTACAAAAAAGGGTGTTTTGGGGTGTAAAGGGAGTATTTTGGGGCACAAAAAGGGTATTTTGGGGTGCAAAGTGTGTATTTTGGGGCACAAAAAGGGTGTTTTGGGGGGCAAAGGGAGTATTTTGGGTACAAAAAGGGTATTTTGGGGGGCAAAGGGAGTATTTTGGGTACAAAAAGGGTGTTTTGGGGTGCAAAGGGAGTATTTTGGGTACAAAAAGGGTGTTTTGGGGGGCAAAGGGAGTATTTTGGGTCCAAAAAGGGTGTTTTGGGGTGCAAGGGGAGTATTTTGGGTACAAAAAAGGGTATTTTGGGGTGCAAAGGAGTATTTTCGGTACAAAAAGGGTGTTTTGGGGTGCAAAGGGAGTATTTTGGGTACAAAAAGGGTGTTTTGGGGTGCAAAGGGAGCATTTTGGGTACAAAAAGGGTGTTTTGGGGTGCAAAGGGAGTACTTTGGTGCACAAAAAGGGTGTTTTGGGGTGCAAAGGGAGTATTTTGGGTACAAAAAAGGGGGTTTTGGGGTGTAAAGGGAGTATTTTGGGGCACAAAAAGGGTATTTTGGGGTGCAAAGTGTGTATTTTGGGGCACAAAAAGGGTGTTTTGGGGGGCAAAGGGAGTATTTTGGGTACAAAAAGGGTATTTTGGGGGGCAAAGGGAGTATTTTGGGTACAAAAAGGGTGTTTTGGGGTGCAAAGGGAGTATTTTGGGTACAAAAAGGGTGTTTTGGGGGGCAAAGGGAGTATTTTGGGTACAAAAAGGGTGTTTTGGGGTGCAAAGGGAGTATTTTGGGTACAAAAAGGGTGTTTTGGGGGGCAAAGGGTGTATTTTGGGGTACAAAAAGGGTGTTTTGGGGTAGAAAAGGGGTAGAAAAGGGTAAGTTTGGGGTGCAAAAGTGGTGTTTTGGGGCACAAAAGGGGGTGTTTGGGGCTGCAAAAGGGGGGTTGGCACAAAAAGGGGTGGTTTTGGGGTACAAATGGGGTGTTTTGGGGGTATAAATGGGGTGTTTTGGGCACAAAAGGGGGTGTTTTGGGCACAAAAGGGGGTGTTTTGTTGTAGAAAAGGGGTATTTTTGGGTACAAAATGGGTGTTTTGGGGCACAAATGGGGTATTTGGGGGGAGAAACGGGTAATTTTGGGGTACAAAGGGAGTAGTTTGGGGCACAAAAGGGGTGTTTGGTGCCGAAAAGGTGTATTTTGGGGTAAAAATGGGTATTTTGGGGTACAAAAGTGATATTTTGTGGTACAAAGGGAGTATTTTGGGGGACAAAAGGAGTATTTTGAGGCATAAAAGGGTTTTTGGGGTACAAAAGGGGTATTTTGAGGTACAAAAGGGGTGTTTTGGAGTTCAAAAGGGGTGTTTTGGGGTATAAAAGGTATTTTGGGGTGCAAAAGAGGTGGTTTGGGGTACAAAGGGCGTATTTTGGGGGAGAAAAGGAGTATTTTGGGTCACAAAAGGAGTATTTGAAAGTAGAAAGGGGTAAGTTTGGGGTACAAAGGGAGTGTTTTGGGGTACAAAAGAAGTGTTTTGGGGTAGAAAGGGGTAAGTTTGGGGTACAAAAAGTGTATTTTGGGGTACAAAGGGAGTATTTTGGGGTAAAAATGGGTATTTTGGGGTATAAAAGTGGTATTTTAGGTTACAAAGGTAGTATTTGGGGGCAGAAAAGGGGTGGTTTGGGGTTCAAAGGGAGTATTTTGGGGTAGAAAAGGGATGTTTTGGGGTACAAATGAAGTATTTTGGGTTAGAAAAGAGGTGTTTTGGGGCACAAAGGGGTATTTTTGGGTAGAAAAGGGGTGTTTTGGGGCACAAAAGAGGTATTTTGGGGCAGAAAAGGGGTGTTTTGGGGCACAAAAGAGGTATTTTGGGGTAGAAAAGGAGTGTTTTGGGGTAGAAAAGGAGTATGTTGGAGCACAAAAGGGGTATTTTGGGGTAGAAAAGGAGTGTTTTGGGGTACAAAGGGAGTATTTTGGGGTAGAAAAGGGGTGTTTTGGTGCACAAAAGGGGTATTTTGGGGGAGAAAAGGGGTATTTTGGGGTACAAAAGGGAGTATTTTGGGATAGAAAAGGAGTGTTTTGGAGCACAAAAGGGAGTATTTTGGGGGAGAAAAGGGATGTTTTGGGGTACAAAAGGGAGTATTTTGGGGTAGAAAAGGAGTGTTTTGGGGTACAAAGGGCGTATTTTGGGGTAGAAAAGGGGTGTTTTGGGGCACAAAAGGGAGTATTTTGGGGTAGAAAAGGAGTGTTTTGGGGTACAAAGGGCGTATTTTGGGGTAGAAAAGGGGTGTTTTGGGGCACAAAAGTTGTATTTTGGGGTAGAAAATGGATGTTTTGGGGTACAAAGGGAGTATTTTGGGGTAGACAAGGAGTGTTTTGGGGTAGAAAAGGGCGTATTTTGGGGTAGAAAAGGGGTGTTTTGGGGTACAAAGGGCATATTTTGGGGTAGAAAAGGAGTGTTTTGGGGTACAAAGGGTGTATTTTGGGATAGAAAAGGAGTGTTTTCGAGTAGAAAGGGAGTATTTTGGGGTAGAAAAGGGGTGTTTTGGGGCACAAAAGGGAGTATTTTGGGGGAGAAAAGGGATGTTTTGGGGTACAAAAGGGAGTATTTTGGGGTAGAAAAGGAGTGTTTTGGGGTACAAAGGGCGTATTTTGGGGTAGAAAAGGGGTGTTTTGGGGCACAAAAGGGAGTATTTTGGGGTAGAAAAGGAGTGTTTTGGAGTAAAAAGGGAGCATTTTGGGGTAGAAAAGGAGTGTTTTGGGGTACAAAAGGGGTATTTTGGCAGAGAAAAGGGATGTTTTGGGGTATAAAGGAAGTATTTTGGGGTAGAAAGTGAGTATTTTGGGGTAGAAAAGGAGTGTTTTGGGGTACAAAAGGAATATTTTGGGGTAGAAAAGTGGTGCTTTGGAGTAAAAAGGGAGCATTTTGGGGTAGAAAAGGTGTGTTTTGGGGTACAAGGGAGTATTTTGGGGTAGAAAAGTGGTGTTTTGGAGTAAAAAGGGAGCATTTTGGGGTAGAAAAGGAGTGTTTTGGGGCACAAAAGGGGTATTTTAGGGTAGAAAATGGGTGTTTTGGGGTACAAGGGAAGTATTTTGGGGTAGAAGGGTAAGTTTGGTGTATAAAGGGAGTGTTTTGGGGTAGAAAAGGGGTGTTTTGGAGTAAAAAGGGAGCATTTTGGGGTAGAAAAGGAGTGTTTTGGGGTACAAAAGGGGTATTTTGGGGTAGAAAAGTGGTGTTTTGGAGTAAAAAGGGAGCATTTTGGGGTAGAAAAGGTGTGTTTTGGGGCACGAAAGTGGTATTTTGGCAGAGAAAAGGGATGTTTTGGGGTATAAAGGGAGTATTTTGGGGTAGAAAGGGGTAAGTTTGGGGTAGAAAGGGAGTATTTTGGGTAGAAAAGGAGTGTTTTGGGGTACAAAAGGAGTATTTTGGGGTAGAAAAGTGGTGTTTTGTAGTAAAAAGGGAGCATTTTGGGGTAGAAAAGGTGCGTTTTGGGGTACAAAAGAGGTATTTTAGGGTAGAAAAGTGGTTTTTTGGGGTACAAAAGGGGTATTTTAGGGTAGAAAAGGAGTGTTTTGGGGTACAAAGGGAGTATTTTGGGGTAGAAAAGGGGTGTTTTGGAGTAAAAAGGGAGCATTTTGGGGTAGAAAAGAGGTGTTTTGGGGCACAAAGGGGTATTTTGGAGTAGAAAACGGGTGGTTTGGGGTACAAATGAAGTATTTTGGGGTAGAAAAGTGGTGTTTTGGGGCACAAAAGGGGTATTTTAGGTTAGAAAAAGGGTGTTTTGGGGTTGGGGGGGGGTCTGAGCCTTGTTTCTGCCCCCCAGGTTTCTGCCACTTTTACCTGCCCGAGGACCAGTACCCGAAGGGCTTCGCCTTCGACTGCGACGACGTCAACTTCGCCACCGACAACCTCTGCTTCGTGGGGCTCATGTCCATGATCGACCCCCCCCGTGCCGCCGTACCCGATGCCGTGGGCAAGTGCCGCAGCGCCGGCATCAAGGTGAGACCCGAAACCGGCCGGATTCGGCCCAAAAAGAGCCCAAAAAGAGACCCAAACCCAGCCGAAAATAGCCCCAAAACAGAGGAAAATTGCTCCAAAACTGAGGAAAATTGCTCCAAAACTGAGGAAAATAGCTCCAAAACCAGATGAATTCAACCTGAAAATAGCCCCAAAACAGGAAAAGAGCTGCAAAACAGCTGAATTCAGCCCAAAAAGAGACGCAAACCAGCCAAAAATAGCCCCCAAAAAGAGGAAAATTGCTCCAAAACCAGCTGAATTCAACCCGAAAATAGCCAGAAATAGCCCCAAAACAGGAAAATAGCTGCAAAACAGCCAAATTCAGCCCAAAAAGAGAACCAAACCAGCCAAAAATAGCCCCAAAACAGAGGAAAATAGCTCCAAAACAGCCGAATTCAGCCAAAAAATAGCCTAAAATAGCCCCCAAACAGGAAAACAGATGCAAAACAGCTAAATTCAGCCCAAAAAGAGACCCAAAACAGCCGAAAATAGCCCCAAAACAGAGGAAAATTGCTCCAAAAATGCCGAATTCAGCCCGAAAATAGCCGAAAATAGCCCCAGAGGAGAATAGTCCCAAAGCTGAATTCAGCCCCAAAAGAGACCCAAAACAACCAAAAATAGCCCCAAAACGGAATTCAGCCCCAAAAGGGGAAAAGCAAAACAGACCCAAAGACAAACCAAAAATAGCCCCAAAACAGAGGAAAACAAAACTGAGGAAAATAGCCGAAAATCGCCCCAAAAGGGGATAATAGCTGCAAAACAGCTGAATTCAGCCCAAAAAGAGACCCAAACCAGTGGAAAATAGCCCCCAAACAGAGGAAAATTGCTCCAAAACTGAGGAAAATAGCTCCAAAACCAGCTGAATTCAACCCGAAAATAGCCCCAAAACAGGAAAATAGCTGCAAAACAGCTGAATTCAGCCCAAAAAGAGACCCAAACCAGTGGAAAATAGCCCCAAAACAGAGGAAAAACAAAACAAAAAAGCCGACTTCAGCCAGAAAATAGCCAGAGGAAATAGCCCCCAAAGAGGAAAATCCAAAAATGGAATTCGCAAAACAGCCGAAAATAGCCCAAAAAAGAGACCAAAACAGAACAGCCCAAAATAGCCTCAAAACAGAGGAAAATGCTCCAAAACCAGAAAAGGAAAATAGCCCCAAAACAGAATAATTCAAAACAGCTGAAAATAGCCCAAAACAGAGACCCGAAAATAGCCCCAAAACAGGAAAATTCTGCAAAACAGCCGAATTCAGCCCAAAAAGAGACCCAAACCAGCCAAAAATAGCCCAAAAAGAGATTCAGCCCCAAAAGAGACCCAAACCAGCCAAAAATAGCCCCAAAAAACCGAAAATAGCTCCAAAACAGGAAAATAGCTGCAAAACAAAATAGCCCAAACCAGTGGAAAATAGCCCCAAAACAGAGAAGAAAATAGCCAAAAAAAATAGCCCCAAAAAAGGGGAAAATAGCTGCAAAACAGCTGAATTCAGCCCAAAAAGAGACCCAAACCAGCCAAAAATAGCCCCAAAACAGAGGAAAATTGCTCCAAAACTGAGGAAAATAGCTCCAAAACCAGATGAATTCAACCTGAAAATAGCCCCAAAACAGGAAAAGAGCTGCAAAACAGATTAATTCAGCCCAAAAAGAGACCCAAACCAGCCGAAAATAGCCCCAAAACAGAGGAAAATTGCTCCAAAACTGAGGAAAATAGCTCCAAAACCAGCTGAATTTAACCCGAAAATAGCCCCAAAACAGGAAAATAGCTGCAAAACAGCTGAATTCAGCCCAAAAAGAGACCCAAACCAGAGGAAAATACCCCCAAAACAGAGGAAAAACAAAACAAAAAAGCCGAATTCAGCCAGAAAATAGCCAGAAATAGCCCCCAAATAGGAAAATAGGCGCAAAACAGCCGAATTCAGCCCAAAAAGAGACCCAGAACAGCCCAAAATAGCCTCAAAACAGAGGAAAATAGCTCCAAAAATGCCGAATTCAGCCCGAAAATAGCCGAAAATAGCCCCAAACAGAGGAGAATAGCCCCAAAACAGCGGAATTCAGCCCCAAAAGAGGCCCAAAACAACCAAAAATAGCCCCAAAACTGAGGAAAATAGCCGAAAATCGCCCCAAAAGGGGATAATAGCTGCAAAACAGCTGAATTCAGACCAGAAAGAGACCCAAAACAGCCGAAAATAGCCCCAAAACAGAGGAAAATTGCTCCAAAACTGAGGAAAATAGCTCCAAAACCAGATGAATTCAACCCGAAAATAGCCCCAAAACAGGAAAATAGCTGCAAAACAGCCGAATTCAGCCCAAAAAGAGACCCAAACCAGCCAAAAATAACCCCAAAACAGAGGAAAATAGCTCCAAAACAGCCGAATTCAGCCAAAAAATAGCCGAAAATAGCCCCAAACAGAGGAGAATAGCCCCAAAACAGCAGAATTCAGCCCCAAAAGAGACCCAAAACAACCAAAAATAGCCCCAAAACTGAGGAAAATAGCCGAAAATCGCCCCAAAAGGGGATAATAGCTGCAAAACAGCTAAATTCAGACTAGAAACAGACCCAAAACAGTGGAAAATAGCCCCAAAACTGAGGAAAATAGCTCCAAAACAGCCGAATTCAGCCCAAAAAGAGACCCAAAACAGCCAAAAATAGCCCCAAAGCCGAGGAAAATTGCTCAAAAAAAAGCAGAATTCAGCCCCAAAATAGCCGAAAATAGCCCCAAACAGAGGAAAATAGCTCCAAAAGAGCCGAATTCAGTCCCAAAACAGCTGAATTCAGCCCCAAATCCTCCCCAAACCACTCAAATCACCCAAATCCCCCCAACTCCCCCCAAAATCACCCCAAATCCCCCAAAATCTCCCACCCCCAAATCACCCAACTCCCCCCAAAATCAACTAAATCCCCCAAAATCACCCTAAATCACCCCCAAACCACCCCAAATCCCCCCAAAACCAATTTCCCCTCAAATCACGCCAAATCACCCCAATCCTCCCCAAACCACTAAAATCCCCCCAAAATCACCCGAATCACCCCAAATCCACCCAAATCCCCCCAAATCCCCCAAAATCACCCCAAAATCACCCAAATTCCCCCAAATCACCCCCAAATCACCCAAATCCCCGCAAATCACCCCAAAATCACCCAAATCACGCCAAAATCCCCCTAAATCACCCAAATCACCCCAAAATCACCTGAATCCCCCAAAATCCCCGAATCCCCCAAAAAATCCCCCCGAAATCACCCAAATCCCCCCAATTTCCCCAAATCACCCCAAATCACCCCCAAATCCCCCAAAATCACCCAAATCCCCCAGAAAATCCCCCAAAATCCCCCAAAATCCCCCCAAATCCCCCAAAATCACCCAAATCCCCCAGAAAATCCCCCAAAATCCCCCCAAATCACCCATATCACCCCAAATCCCCACAAATCCCCCCAAATTCCCACAAATCCCCCCAAATCCCCGCCAAATCACTCAAAATCCCCCCAAATCACCCCAACCCCCCCCCCAAGTCCCCCAAATCCCCCCAAAATCCCCCCCAATCCCCCCAAATCCCCCAAAATTAACCAATTCCCCCAAAAATCGCCCAAAATCCCCCCAAAATCACCCAAATCCCCCCCAATCCCCCAAATACCCCCAAATCCCCCCAAATCCCCCCCAAATCCACCCAAAATCCCCCCAAATCCCCACAAAATCACCCAAAATTAACCAAATCCCCCAAATCTCCCCAAATCCCCCAAAATCCCCCCAAATCCCCCAAAATCCCCCAATCCCCCCCCGAATCACCAAAATCCTGCCCAAATCCCCCCAAATCCCCCTTAAATCCCCCCAAACCCCCTTAAATCCCCCCAAATCCCCCTTAAATCCCCCAAATCCCCCCAAATCCCCCGAAAATCACCCAAATCCCCCAAAATCCCCCCAAACCCCCCCAAAATCCCCCCAAAATCCCCCCAAAATCACCGAAATCCCCCCAAAATCACCCCAAAATCCCCCCAAAACACCCAAATCCCCCCGAAATCCACCCAAAATCCCCCCAAAATCCCCCCAAATCCCCCCAAAATCACCCAAAATTAACCAAATCATCCCAAAATCACCCCACATGCCCCCCCCCGCCCCACAGGTGATCATGGTGACCGGGGACCACCCCATCACGGCCAAGGCCATCGCCAAGGGGGTCGGGATCATCTCGGAGGGCAACGAGACCGTGGAGGACATCGCGGCGCGGCTCAACATCCCCGTCAGCCAGGTCAACCCCCGGTGCGTGCTATGGGGCGCTGTGGGGCGCTGTGGGGCGCTATGGGGCACTGTGGGGCTCTATGGGTGCCATAGGGCAGTATGGGGCTCTATGAGCTGCTGTGGGTGCTATGGGGCTCTATGGGTGCCATAGGGCACTATGGGGCTCTATGGGCTGCTGTGGGTGCTATGGGGTGCTGTGGGGCTCTATGGGCGCCATAGGGCACTATGGGGCGCTATGGGCTGCTGTGGGTGCTATGGGGTGCTATGGGGCTCTATGGGTGCCATAGGGCACTATGGGGCGCTGTGGGTGTTATGGAGCGCTGTGGGTGCTATGGGGTGCTATGGGGCTCTATGGGTGCCATAGGGCACTATGGGGCGCTATGGAGCGCAGTGGGTGCTATGGGGCGCTGTGGGGCTCTATGGGTGCCATAGGGCAGTATGGGGCTCTATGAGTTGCTGTGGGTGCTATGGGGTGCTATAGGGCTCTATGGGCGCCATAGGGCACTATGGGGCTCTATGGGCTGCTGTGGG